CAGAAGGGCCTGAAAACAAAAGCCAAAGGCCGTAATTCCAGCAAATCTTGTGTGGAGTCCAGCACAGAGTGACACAGAGCCTTTGCTAGAGCAGGCAGGGAGGATGGAAGAGCCTCTGCATGAAGGATTAAGTTTCAGGATCTTCATTCAGAGGCATTGTTCTTTATTTTCCTGTAGTTCTGGCCCTCATTAGCCTCCAAGCCAGCAGTGCCCAGGGCCTGCATGCCAGTGGGTAAGGAGGGAGTGAGGAGTCGGTGTTCCCTGCCCTCTGGCAGATGGCACACACTCCTTCCACAGCAACTCCAGCCCTTCCCACTGGGAGATGCATGCAAGTGTGAAAACTACCAAAGCACCATGTGGAATAGATTTCTGGGTAGTGTAGAGCACGCCCCCTTAAACCCATTGCATCTACATCTAGCAGTGCTGTTTGCCTCATTTTTTAATGATTATTGCAGTAGCAACAGTGAAGCACCAAAGGGTGAAGCTGTCAGGGTGTGCAGTGTCCCTGGCTCTCCGCAGCACTGGGGGCCACCAGGCCTTTGCAGAGGTTTTGGGCAGAGATCAGGAACAGCTTCATCAAGCATCAATATTCTTCAGCTGAGCACTCTTGTATGTTAAAGGGCTAGTGAAGATTGGGAAATCAAAAAGCAAAGGCAGATTAAAAGTTTAGTGAAATTACTACTATGGATTACATGGATTTAGTTTATGGGGTATGCTCATTACAGAGGAAAACATGGGGTTTGTGTTGTTTCACACAAGCAGAGTTTCACTTTCATCTTCCATACTGCTCAGTTTGGTAGAGAAGAACAGGGCTCATCTGAGGCCAGAATTTGGCATTTTAAGTTCAGATACAGCTAAATCCTTTTTGGTCCCTAATGAGTAATGGTCCCTATTCATTAGGAGAGTTTGACTGAGTAATTGCTTAAGGTGGCATCTCCTCTCCTGAACTGTTCCCAAACAAACGGATCTTGCACAAGGTGGCTCCTTTTAAAGCTCAGGAACCATGGTGCAGTTGAAATATTGAGCCAGGTGTTGTGAATGTCACCCCATGTCAAAAGGGGGGGAAAAAACCAACTTCCAATAATGCATAATGTTAGGTTTGTAGGGCAACATCCTGCACTGAGACCCACAGCATGTGAGTGTCTGCAAGACTTCACAGTTCCCTGTTAGGCTCCAGATTTTGGCCCTGGCTGGAAAGCACAATTTAAGGTGAAAAAGATGTCTTGATAATGCTTAGAATCTTTAAAAAAATGTGCAGATATTTTTCCTACTAGTTTTTCTCTGAATTTATGAGTTATTCTTTTCTTAAAAGATTGTCTGAGGTTGTAGTTTTAAAAGAAATAATTTTCCATGTGAAGAAGGAAGAGCCATAAGGAGAGTAATTATAATGGCATTTGAAATAACCCACTACTATTTCTTTGCCAAAACATCCCTCTGTTCTCATGTTTTGTTTTCCCGAGCTCTGAAATTTGTCCTGCAGTTTGCTAATGTTAAAAAGACAGCCTAATCTACTGACATATTTCCAGATCAAATGTTTCTGTTTTCTAGCAATAAATTTGGCTGCCCTCCGATAGCAGTGATTTGTTTGAAAACCTGCAAATCTTTAAATGTTGCTAATTGCTCTGAAAATGTTAAATTAGACTTTTGAACAGGAACATTTGCAAATGGGAAATGTTGTACATTTAAACTTTCTAATGCTGGCTTTCCAAATATTCCTTTAATATTCAAATCAGTTGCATCTGTTAAACAAAACCTAGAGGTAGATTTGGACTCCCTCTCACTTTTTATTGCTGGCCCTAACACACAAATCAGAGAGGATGTATTTCTAATACAAGAATGTTCTCCAAACCAGTAAATCTGGGATTATCTCTTCGGACTGATTATGTCAAAGCTCTTTAGTCACAGCACTTTTGGAGAGCTAAAAATAAACAGCAGCAGGGTTTATACATTTATTCTCTACCTAAATAATCTGCACGTATTGTGTGTGTCTGTCTACAATGTGAGACATGGTATCTGGACTTAATGTTTATTTATAAGAGCTCTTTTCCTAGGAAGGATTTTGGCAAAGGGTTTAAACCAAACTGTCTTAAGAGAATTGCCCATGGGATAAAGTCTAGAGCAAGTTGAAGGGAGCTGGGTTCAAACCAGAAGTGTTTGCAGCAGCAGCTTGACAAGAGCAAAACTTGGCCTCCATTTCTTGAAAATGAATGAAAATGGGTTCTTTTCTTTCTTACCAGTGATGAAACAATCCTATCAAATACAGAGAAAGGTAACCCAGATTTCAGTGCCACAGTTTTGCACTGTTAAAGATCTGGAGAATTTTGTGCATTTAATTTGTGTGAGAGCAAACTGAAGTTCTTAAAGCAGTACCAGGAAGTTGAGCATGCTGTCATTTGCCTCCTGGCCCTGGAGAGTGTAGGAGAAGAATCTTCTGAAGAAGAAGCACTTTACAAAGAATTTTTAGTTGGATATGTCAAAGATCTGTGGATGCCTTTCCATGTAACTCTTTACTCCTGTGCAGTCTCTCCCATTTCACAGGGTTGATGCTGCATGCTCAGGAGAAAATGGAGCCAGGGCTTCAGGTACACAGCAGGTCAGGGCATGCTACACAAGGAAGTAAAATGGGGAAAAGAAAAATATTCTAAAATCATTTTGTTCTTATTTAAAGTCAGCAATGGATTGCTCAGAAATGGTTTGATAAAAGTAGGAAATATAAACACTTAAAATAGTGCTGGAGGCAATAAGTCTTGCATTGGCAGAGGTAGAATGGATGGAATCCAGTTCATTCAGCACCTGTAATTCTGCAGGTATTGGAAGAAGTTCTGTGTGTTATACCAATAAATCACATGCTGGGACTTCAGTTTGGAGCACATCTCCAACACTGAGCCTTATTGACTGAATATTTTAATTGGGAAACAAGGCATTTCCTGACTTTATAGACAACATTGCAGAAATATGCAGCAAAGATATTTTTCTGAGTATATTTACAAATGTAAATATATTCATAATATAAATATGAATGCATACATTTCCCTGTGTTGTAGGATAATGGGAACAGTGTTCTTGGTTGCACAGACTTTATTACCAAGTCTCTCATAAAACATTGTAAAACAGCTCTTTTCATGTTCATGTTGGCTGTCACCTGACTTTCCAAAGGTAAACATTGGAAATGTTTGGCAAGTTGCTCTTATTCCTAGTAAAAAAAGTACATTTGCTTTCTTAGAATGAAAGAATTACTGTCCTTAAGAGTGATCATTGTCTGCTGCAGTGTATTTTCTGTAGGAACATATTTTTCATTTTTCCTTTTGTTTTAATTCCTGTGAAACTGATCCTACAACCCCAGTAATGCATATTTTTGTAACAAAAGAAGGAATAGAATGCATCCAGTCCTGCTCCCACCAAAAGAGCACTTCTGAACTGGTTTTCTACATAACTTGAGCTTTGGGGTTTGATTTTTGGTTTTTCTTTTTCTTAATGTATGAGAATAGAGGGTATGGCCTTTATCTTTGTCTTCCTTGTGTGGTCCTTGCTCAGGCATTGCCTCAGCTGAGGTAGTGCCTGAATTCACAGGTTACCTGTTCAGAGCAGGGATTTACATGAGGATTATATTTACCTTTTGGTGAACAGTATCATCCTCATCACACCCAACTGATTCTAAGCTCAGTGCACTCAGCTGAAAGGTGTGAATGGTATGATCATGGTGATGAGAACAGTGACCTCAAACCCATCACTCAGTGTAGTGGAACATTGACTTGAATTCCTGCTTCAATATATCTGTTCCTGTAATCAGTTATTCATGGGAGTGTTCTCACTTGAAAAGGTAAATCCAGAGTAGTTCTTCAAATTTAATTAAACCAATGCACCTGGAAAGTGAGTACAGACCTGGGGTTTAGGGACACTGTTAGGACATGGGAGAAGAGCCATTTGTCCTTCATGGCATTTATTATACCTACAATACTTTTCAGCTTGTTCTTGTAGTGAACTTATATTACAAAATTAATCTTTGCACTGACTTTACTATAAAAGCTGTGAATTTATTAGCAAGATTTTTTTTCCAAGTGAAAAGAAGCTATTTCCTTTCCCAAGAACACATTATTCCAGAAGGGAGAAGAGGCAGTGTGTTGCCCACACACAGTATGGCTCACATGCACACACCACTCACAAGGTGTGCAGTGTTCTCACCACAGGCTCCAAACCTGTCCATGTGTCTGTCCTTACTGAGCCCTGCTTGGGCTCTTTCCATTCACACAGAAGCTTTGCAGAGACTATAAAGCAGCTTAGCCTGCATGTCAAGTGTAGGGTTTAAACCTTAAAAATCAGCACTGATGTCCTTTTATTGTGTGTGTAAAGGCTGTGGGAGCACAGCCTTAAAAAAAAAAAAACTTTTTTTTTTTTTTCTTTTTTTTATTCTTTCTGCAAGGGGAATTAGTTAAGGATGCTAGAATAGTAATCATGGAGTTGTGTGGGTAGAAATGATCTTAAATAGCCCCTCATTCCAACCTTACTGCCATGGACAGGAGCACCTTCCATTATCCCAGATTGCTCCAAGCCCCATCCAGCCTGGCCCTGGACTCTTCCAGGGTTCATGTTCTAAAGAGCTGAGTGTGTTTCTACAATGGGATTCCACATTTGCTCAGCTTCCTCTTGGCCACCCTGCCTCCCTCAGGCTGTAACCAGTGAGATAGCCATGGTAATATCCTGCTGTGTTAATTGTCTGCAGCTCCAATAATTAACAAGAAATGTCACCAGTCTGTGTCAGGAGTCTCATACAAAAGCCTTCTCTTTATTGCAATGGGAATTGGAACCTCCAGTCCAGCTTCTGGCTCTCTGCAGACTCCACATTTTGCTTTTAAAAATCTTGCAGTTAGCAAGAAAAAGACAATTCTGTGTTTGAAGGTCTCATAATGATTGTTACAACTCCAGACTCCGCCTGGAATTCCTTGTTTTGGGATGGGGAAGCCTCTTTGGGGTTGCTGATAGCATTTCTTGTTGGTTTTTAGCCACGTGACACAGACCACGTCCTGGATCCACCCCGTCACGAGCGCTCTGAGCTTGCTTTGCTCCGAGGAGGAGGAGGATGGGATCAGAGACCTTCCTGGGCCCAAGAGCTGAGGACAGCTGTGGACAGAGAGTAGTTGGTCTGGTTTTAGTCCCTTAGTGAGCAGATCACAGGTTTTAATCTACCTACTTTCTAGTGTGATGTAGTAGTACCTGGTGACATTTCTCCTCATCAAGCTGGAGGAAGTTCTGCTGGTTTTGAGATGGGTTTGTTGATGTGTGCTACAAAGGATGCAGGTGCCACAGGAGTCCTTAATCTGCCCCATTTTGGTGTGCCAGGGATCAGTCTCACCTTAGGGCCCAGTCCCATCTTTTCATGATTTCCCCACAGACCCATCATTTCCCTGACCTGAAGCAGAATTTTCCAGGTCAGCTGAAATTTTCACAGCTCTGAGCAACATGAGATTTAAGGTGAGACCACTGGTGGTAGATTCCAGCTGATGGTTGACTGAGAGATGCAAAGTGAGGTGGGGTTTTTGAACCAAAGTTAGTGAGAATAATGGGGATAATTCAACTGAAAACTCTTATTTCTGTGGGAAAAATGTTCAAATAAGTTTTGCTACTAGAAATTTAGTGATTTATTATGAATATTGGAGCCCTGATGACTTTTTATACAAATACTTACTAAGATTGGTTGTTGAGATTTAGAAAATGTGTCTTTGATAAGTTGTCAAGTAAAAAGAAAGTTTTCATAGAGGACATCATACTCTGACAACAATATGAGGCAATATGAAATTTATTCTACTTTTGTATTCTGCTAAACCAATACAGACACACATCAAATACTTCAGTGGAAGCTGTGAAGTTTCAAGTACAATGAAACCTGTGAAACCACCTCCAGGATCAGCAGAAATCAGTCACCTCCTCAGAACTGGTCTTTTAAGTAGAACAAAATCATTTTGTACACATCAGTGATGCTTTAAAGAGGATAAAGAAAATGATGGGGGGGTGCAAGTTAATGAACAGGTTTCTGTGTACCTCAATAGCACAGGATATTTTAAATCTCATTATTCACAGCACAATGTCTGATGTCAGCTCTGTCAAATGTATGATTCTGTGCTACATTTTTCTGGAGGCTCTTTATATGTGTGTTGTGTATATAATTGTAGGTGTTAGTAATGAATGAGACAGACCTGAACCTGCAGAAGCACTGATGGATATGCCAAAGAAAATCTCTATCTCTGCTTCAGTCCAGGAGGGAGAAGGGGATTGTGGCAGTGTGAGGAGGGCACAGGCTGCAGTCGCATTTTTTGAGGTCTGTCTTCAGCAGGTGTGGCATTGGAGTTAAGAATCCTTGTCCTCTGAGGAATGAATATCAAAACCAGACTCACTCTCAGTTCTGGTGCCTTGACCATGCTCTCTGTCCTCAGCAGTGCAGAGCTGTGCCAGGTCAGGCTCCCTGGAACAGTTGATCCTTTTGAACCAAAATAATTCACCTTTTTTTGAAATCCAAGTCAGGCCTCTGAACAGCAGCCCAGTAATCTCCTGCACTTGGCCAGAGAGCTGGAGAGCACATCACCAAATGTTCTTCCTGAAGCTCACAAAAGAGGCCTTTACAGGCTTTGCAGGAAATAGATGTCAGGGTATATTGAATAAGCAAATAGGAAAAATTTGTTTTGTACTTTCAACTAGGTCAGACCCAAATTATCTGTGAATCTACACAGGTGGTGTGGATTAGGGAAAAAAAGCTTGCTCAGCAGACCTACAGTAACTTACATTTCTAAGAAAACTTCTCCTAGCAATAACACATGAATGGTTTAGCCATATTTGCTCCAGTGGCTCCTGCATGCTCCACAGCCTCCTTTGTGCTCCCAGAGAGCTCAGGCCAAAGGGACAGAGCATGTGCTTCAGTTTCAGGCTTGGACACTCCAGAATCATTTTTATTTAAATCCCTTTTCTCAGAATGGCACAGACTCATGGCTACAGAAGATATGTCATCTGAATTCCTTGTGGTATTTGCTGTAGTAGTCACTTGGATGCTTTATAACAGCACTTTCTGTTCATCCTTCAGTGATACCCAGCCTGCACACAGATTCCAGCTCCCCAGTCCTGCTCAGGAGAGGTTTGAGCCCCCCCTGCCTCTTGCAGCCTCGTGGCTGTGTCAGCCAGCTGGGTGCCCAAAGGGGAGCAGCTCTTTAGGGATGGGGAGTGTGGCTCAGGCAGGCTCTGCAGAGCAGGGGCTCCATGGAGAGCAGCTCAGAGCTGTCCTGCTGGATCAGCTGCAGGGGCACAGCTCTGCACGTGCTGCCCTTGCTGGGTGCAGCCTGCTGTGCACGGGGACAATCTGCCTGCTCCTCTCACTGCCACCTCCCACAGACCCCAGTGTGGCACAAACCTGCAGCCTCTTCCTCTCTCTCTCTTACAAACTTGCCTAGAAATTAAAGATGTTAGAAATAGATCTCTGCATCTCTTCAGCTGCTCCAGTGAGCATTTCCCTCCTCAGATAATCCACCAGTTCACATTCTCTGGGGTTGAGAATACATTTTCTTACCTACGATCTCCAAATGTTCCAATCTATTTTTGTACACTGGTATACTTGTTTCCTAGGTTATTTCTCTTGATCTCCCCTTATCTCTTCCTTTATGTGAAATAGTTTTGTGAAAATTATTTTGCTTAAGCTGAACTGTGTATATTGAGAAAATGGTTCTAGCATAACTTGGAACAGAATTTATAAAGAGCAGTTGTCAACATATGCAACACTGTAAACGGCAAATTTTCATTTTTATCCCTGAATTTAAAAAATTAATTGGAAAAGATACTAAAGTGCATGTGATAGCCTTTAAATTAATAAAACTACACCTTTATATTGTAATGAATCTGTTCCACATAACATTCTCCATCTGTTGAAAAGCCTCTTGTAACAGACTGCTTTAGGAATGGTTTGTTTCATTTCTGACACTCAGGAGGTGCCTGTGCCACTGAGGTAAGGAAAGGAAAATCCTTTTAGAAAAATATTTGTGGTTGTGGAACAGGCTGGGTTGTGCAGGGTTGACTGTGTGCACGACTCTCCAGGAGCTCAGGAAATGCTGCTCTGGCTTGCCTTGTGAAATGTTTCATTTTCTGGGAACTGATGGGATTCTTAACCCTCAGCTCAAGACACACAGGACTCCAAACCAAACTCCAAAATTCAGTGGCCTTTTTGCAAGTGCTCCTCTGAGTGACTTTGATGTGGCTCTATTTTAAGTCAGCAGCAGAAATTAAAGTCAGCTCAGGAGCCTTTGTTGAGTTGTGTGCTCCTGCTCCTTGTGTGTTCCCAACACTCTCCACTCCAAAGAGCCTGCAGGGAGTGAGCCCAGTCACACCAGTTCAGACTGGCACCTGTCAGGCCAGGCACTGGGGCCAGCTTTGCAGAGATGTTTAGCAGCTTAAACGTGTTCGTGGAGTTAATGGGAATTAGGCACCTAACCTACTTAGATGCTGCTATAAATGCTGCTAGGCATGTTTAGATACCTAAATACCTTAGTAAATCTTTCCCCTGGCTGCTTGCAGTGATAGTGCACCAAAAATCAAATACCAGTGACTAAAGCCTCACCTTTGTCCTCTGTAACCAGCTTTGGCTTTCCCTGAGGATTCTTTTCATGTAACACTAAAAATACCAGCCAGCTCACAGGTTGTACCATCCAGGCTCTGCTCATGTTTTCTGGTGGCTTGATTATTTATTGCTCATTCTAGTTTTGTTTCCACCAACAGTGGCTGATGTTGGCATGGATTTAATAGGTTGGTATTTTCACAACACTCATCTAAGATAGGATATTTTATTACAAGATAATACAGGTGTTATTTTAGTTATTTTATTACAAGATAATACGCTGTTTACAGCAGTGCTCAAGACTCTAGAGAATGTAGTCCAGCATTTTTCCAAAGCACACATAAGCTGTGTTCTTCCTTCACCTGAAGAAGGATATTTGATAGAGACATTGAACTGCAGCCACACAATCCTTATTATTCACTGAGGGCTCCAACAAGGGAGGTTGCTGCAATGACCCCTCATCCTGATGAGGAGGAATGCAATTTCTCCAGCCAGTCACTATGGGGAATTTTGGTTTCATTGTTAGGCTTCTTGGCTAAAAGCAAACCATGAAAAATCAGTAGTTTTGATGGTGTTTCACATAAGTCACTATTTCACCCTGACCCCCAAAAGCTACACTCTGATCAGAGCTGTCTTCATCTCCTCTCAAGTACCCTGCCTGTCAGCTACCCACAAGGCAGTATTTCCCTGTGGTCCAATTATTATTATCATCAAGAACTATCCTTGCTCTTGTATGTGAAGAGAATTCATTAAAAAATGATTGAAATGGAAAAAGAAATAAAATTATGTTTCCTGCCTGAAATAGAAATGTAACAATAACAGCACTTATATGGGAAAGAGAAAGGATCCAAGCAAAGTATTGGGGTTCCTGCTGATGTTTTCATTTTCACTCCAAAGGCTGGTAATGCATCCCTGTTCCTTTCCAACCCCACTGTTCCTGAGAACAGCAGGAGCATCGAGTTCTCCAGGGACAGGGAGAACTCAGGCCCTGGTTGAGCTGCACATTTTAATCTCCAGACCGAGCCACTGGGGACGCATCGTTAGGGGCTGTAATTGGTCACTGTGGGGCTCATGTTCCCAGCTAAAGACAGCTGCTCATCACTGCTGCCATGGCATGAGCAGGAGCAGAGAGGCCCAGTAAGAACCTGCCTGGCTCTCTTAGACCATATTACACCATCAATGAAATGCAGAACTCTTGTAAATAATAAAAATACCGAGGATCAGGAAATAGGCCCTAACTGTTGAAGAATGCCTGTCTTGTTACTTGGCTAATTGAAAGATGCAGCCAAAAGGAATTTTGGTACTAACTGAAAATGTGTAAATGCAATTATCTCTTACTCCTTTCTCTGCTCAGCTTTGGGCATGCAGTCCAGTCCCTTGAGCCTAAACTCTACTGTGTTTAACCCATTCTGGCTGCAGATGCTGAAGCAGCACAGTCCTGCAGGCTCTGCTGTTTCCAATAACCACTTAGAGTCCTGCAGAGAATGATACAAAAGCCAAAAATGAAATCAATAGTAAATGTTCA